GGTCTTCCATAAACGAGGGCGAGATGGCCCAAGTGGTTAGTGCGCTAATTTACTGACCGGAAGGTTCGTGGTTCGAACCCGACCTCTGCCTCTCGACTTCCCCTGTCTAGGCTTGGGCACTCTGGCAGTATCCCAGCCCTTGTGCTTCCTTCGGGTGGCATGGCAGTTTGGCGCCAAGAGGGTGCTATAGCTGAACGGTTTTGCTTCCATAAATGTACTCCTGTTGCATGAGTGCTCATTTAGATCGATTCAAACAGTGAATCCAACACCCACGGGGCCGGCAGCGCTCTACTGCAGGATGCAACATCATTTCCCTAACAAGGGTGACCCAGGGTCGTCGACACGTTCATAGTGGGTCCAAAACATTCACCAATGTATTCTTCACTCCCTTTAAACGTGATCAACTTTTTCTTAATAATCCGGCAAATATCGGATTCACTAGAACCAGCTGAAGACGAATAACTGTATGATGAGAATGATTAAGCGCAGCGACACTGCTGAAGTTACGGTAAGGTCAGCTGCATTTAAAATCCAAAAACATCATCCGCAGACTAAAGCGGTCGGCTTATGGGAATACGGGGCATAGGACTTCGAAGTTGTCAGATGGTGAACGACACCGAAACATTTGACAATTCATCTATGTCCTGATGACTGGTGCTCCGCATAATCCGCTTGGCTACGGTAGCATGTGCGGAGAGGGAGAAGAAGGTGAAACAGAGCTCACCAAAAATAAACAAGTTTGAGAATAACGTGCGAACAGCTTAAAATCGATTGAGTTGGACCGGTTTTTTCAAAAAACCGAGGGTGTTACAGGGACGCTACTCAGGTTTGGGTGCAGCTCAATGTTGATCACGGATTGGAAGTCCGCTTCAATCAGCATCGCTTTAAGGCCGTTGTCAAGTCTATAATGTCACTGGATCAGGAAGGCCACTGTGTTCCACTCAGACGATATTAGTCATCATTTACGAATACGAGTGACCAAAATATTCCACAGTGGGCACTACTTGTACAGTTCGATTTGTCCACCAAGGGAGCGCTCTTTCTTAAGAGACCTTCACCCAGTGAAAAATCTTTTTTAGAAATGAGAACTGTGCCAGTTCATATCTCTGGTTGTTAAACAGTCAGAAGGAGACATACCGAATCCGATATACTGTGAAAAGATGACACTGAATTCTGTTCGCAGTGCAAATCACCAGTTCAATTCATGTCCTAAAGTTTAAAATTTTGTTGGCGTTACACTTAAATCTCTCCTCGTCACCATGAAATCCATAGATGGATAGAAAAGAACTGCGTAAACGAAACACCCTGTGAGTCGCTAATACCCCTCGTCAAATAGTGAACACATCTGGAAACAGAGTAACCTATTTTGAAGGTCCTAAGGCGGAAAACTCAAAGCAACTAAACACTAAAACACAGTAGTTGTCGTGCGGTGGAAGGCACCGTGTGGTTGCTTCGAGGATTGGACAAAACTCTGTTCTGCATCGAAAAGTTAGAGAAAAACCCTTCACTCACGGAGAGTGAAGGAACACATTTGTAAAGCATGCTTTATGCTAGTTTGCCAGCAACCAGTGTAGTGGCAATACAACTTTACGAAACGTTTAATTGCCTTTGGACGAACGGAGAGTGAGGAATTTGCAGAATTTAGAAGCGGTCTGTCTTATTTCCGGCAAGCTTTGTAAGAGGACATTGTCCGAAAAACGGTGCCACTAATGTTCACGATCCCTGGACGAACTGTCTGAAAACTAGGTGGCTATGTGACCCCTAAATGAAGAAAAAGTTTGACAGACAGTTTACCCAGACGAGCAAACTTTCCGAAGAATCAGAGAGAACTTAGTGCAGTTTGCACTGCTATAGACCAATTCCCTTAATGGAATACGCACTACAAACAGGCCGTGAAAGAATTTCCAATTCAAAACCGAATTCTGGCTTTGCTATAAAATATGGATAAGCATTCAAGACACAAACAGCATTCGCGTAGTGTACGCGTCGTTCTCATACACATCAAACGAATCCACTGTTAAGGGTGACCTTGTACAGTCTTAACGAACCATAAGGATACACACGGTTTGTCGTAGTGGTGCAGATTCGAGCATTTAAATCGGTACCCAACAGAAATGGAGAAGTCAGGTTGCAGTAAAATAAAATAATAGTATCCGTTCATTTGTAACACCCTACTGCTACCCGAAGGCAGCACGAGGGCTAAGGTACCACCAGGTTGCCAAAGCCTAGACAGAACCACGCGAGTTGCCGAAGTTCGATTCGAGTTTCGGACCTTTCGGTCAGTATTTTCGTGCCTCAGCCACTGAGGTATTGCGAGGGCAGGTAGATACACACATATTATTTAAAAATACGTAATAATGCAATGCGATGCGGAGCACGAACGCCACGAAAGGAGCATAGGTTGCCGTAATTGCAGATAGTTTAGGAATTTTCATTGCCGAAACCATTCTTTAAAGATGGGAAATTCTGGAGAAAGTTGCTTAGGAACGCAAACCCTGGAGCGCCCGGGGAGTGGATTACCTTCAGAGGGGTCAGTTTAGGGAATTATTGTATTGGTGATAGTTAGATAAACCGCAAGAGGCTGACGCAGGCAAACGCTGCCGCTAGCGAACGGTTAAATCATCGGCGCAACAGTCACGTCGAAGCCGACAAACGTGCTAGTTAATAAGCGCACGATTGTGATTCACAGATGTCGCTACTCGATGCATCTCCAACAGGCGTGATCAGCTTGCGCGCAGAAACGAAAGTGAAAGCAGTCGGTAATCGGGAGTGCTATGGCAGACAACCACTAACAAGCTACTGGCACTGTCAACATAGGATCAACGACTAACGACACCAATAATTATACCGACGTCAGACACAACCATTACAGCTGATGCGTCGGGGTGGATTTCGGTGGCTTCATTTGATCCAGTGCACACTGGAGATAGAAGATTTAGGTACTAACTCGATTGGTTACGTGATATGTATCAAGACTATGACATGTGAGCGCGGTGATCCATCAACTTCACCAAAATCTACCAGTAAAATAACAAGGACACGGTGGGTCAATTGAGAAAGGTGACGAGGCATGAAATCGACAAACATAATCGGTCGGTGTTGAGAGCAAGAAAGTTCGTAGACGCGATGAACATAAGCAATCCTCCACTCACCAATAGGAACAAATGGAAGGAGAAAGTGGTAGATCTGTCGTCAGGTGGCATCATTCAGGGGTCCATCTACGCCTGGACGGAGTTTGATGGTGCGATGGGATCGAAAACGGGCCTTGTTGAGACTGAGGGGGTCGAATCGGGAAATAGAGGAGGGGATACTAATATTCTGTACTACAGGGACTCAGTAGAAAAAGATTGGTGTAATCCGCACGTGACGGACAGAATATGTTTCCATGTAAGGTAGCGTAGTGAGAAATGATGTCACCATAAGCGCAGTCTCGCCGTATTTCCCAGAAACCGAGTGGAACCGAATGGAACAGATTGTATTCAAAATTTGCTACTTGCGTTTGTCATGCAAATACCAAGCAACAAAGGGGTAGCAGAGACAGGTCGTAAGATATGTATGTAAAGTTTAACTTATTAGCAGACCGGTCAATCAATTAGTTAACATACCAATATGAATTGCAATCAAACACAGGCTAGCTAAGCGACACGTTCGGTGCATCCATAGGGATAACGGATTCAGTCACCCTTGATTGGTCCATCGAGAGGAAAAGGAGTTCCACTGCGTGACCGAGGGATGTGCATACAGGTAAACACTTGCATCATAGACGTACGTAGACAAACAACATCCACGGTTCTAGATGTCTGAAGGACCAACTACAGGTTGGTAGGCGGTTGCACACTTGACCAAGTGCTTGTAAGGCAGTTAGAGGCTGGCTGGATAAAAAACGGATCGAAGACTCGCATTGCTGAGGACCAGACCATGGTATGCACGGCCGTATAACATAAACACTCATGAAGAGACCGTGTCAGGATTAATAGCAGTCATCCGAAACAACGGGGGCGAATCTACCATGACCGCGTTCTTGTGTTTGATATCCAAAATGATAGGATATAAGGTAAATATTCAAAGGAATGAATGTGAGTACGAAATTAACAATAGTAATAATAACAATAAATGACAATAAAAATAGTGAACAACGCCAAACAAACGAGTCGTAGCAGCGGCAGATTAGCGGTGACCTTGAGGATGTTCATGTAGTTCCGTAGCACAAAACACTAAACCCGGGCGACGAAAGTGATTGGCTACGGGGTCAGGGAACCACACTACTTTATGACTTACAAGACGGGCAGGTGATGTGGGGCGCCATACGAACCACACTCGCTATGAGTTCAAAAACCTACCGGGAAGCAGGTAGCAATACACGATCTAGACGTAATTTGGGGCTGGAAGTATGCTTGTATAATAAACCACAGTTAAAAACACGACACCTGTTCAACCATGTGTCTCCATGTCAGAGTTAAACGCGATTATTTTAACTAGCGCGACCCAAGCTTATAAAAAATCCCAACAGACTAGTGGGTGGCCTCAAAGTCCGCCTCAAACGGATACAGGGAAGTACTGACTACGCGAGACAGCTCAGGGGTTAGAGCGCAGATTTACTGACCAGAAGGTCCGTGGTTCGAACCCAACCTCTGCCTTTCGAATTCCCTGTCTGGGCTTGGGCAAACTGGCAGTATCCCAGCCCTCCTGCTTCCTTCGAGTGGCATGGCAGCTAGGCACCGAAAGGGTGTTACAGCTGAACGATTATTATTATCTTTTTACTACCGGAGAACCAAATCAAACTAGACATATGTGAGACTGTTTCGGCGCATAGATGTTATGCGCCACGGAGGGTCCGTCACGAAGAGACTGGACCTTACCGTGGTGTGACGGTTTGCGCACCTCAGCGATCCATTGAGCTATACTGGAGAGTGTCCCGCGACATTCACAGAGTCTCTCATACCAGGTTGGTCAATGGTTAGAGGTCTGACGAACACGGTCTCCTGTCCCACAAGGTTGGGGGATGGAACATGTGGCGACTTGCCTCAGCGATTGAGCTATACTGGATAGTGTCCCGCGACACTCACAGAGTCTCTCATACCAGGTTGGTCAATGGTTAGAGGTCTGACGAACGAACACCCCTGGCCCTCCAGGTTGGGGGTTGGAACATGTGGAATGTAGAAATGGTAATGCATTTGCATTTCCCGCCAAACACCGCTGCCTTGCGGTTAGGCTTTTGAGCCAAAGGCTTTGGTTGAGGACCCTAATCGTCCTCCTGTCTAGGTGTGGGTGCCTGGCAGTATCCCAGCCCACGTACAACCATGAATTGCACATACACAAATAAACTCATGCCACATTGGCCGTCGCGTGGTGTCATCAGCCGGGTCACCTTACTTGCTGCATACAGCAGGGCGCGTAAGCGAAAACAGGCTACTGCTGACGCCTCCCTTCTTTCTCCTTCACATACTTTTTCTTCCCCCTCTCCCCACCCCATTAATAACTCTCTCCTTGTAGGCCCAGCACTTAGGACTGATGACTCCGTTCGTCATGCATCGGTTTTGCGTGCAGCATCTGCTCGTCACATGGTGCCGACAAATCAGTCCTCAAGCCTCGACACCCACTCTATCTG